TAGTTAGACTCTTGTTATTTTGTGCAGAAAGCCGTATACGATCCCGCCCGTGAGCTTGAGCGCTTGTACAGCGGCAAGCTGAAGGTCTCGGTCCCGGCGCCTGGTGGCGCCGCACGGAAACGCAAAAACCCCGGCGAAGACGGACTGCTGGACAGCACTGGTATAATTCCCACCGAGGCACTCCTTCTGCGCGAGATCTTCCAATCAATCAACAGCGTCAGCCGTATGTATCTTCGCCGGGTGTGTGCGCTGTGGAACGACATCCTGACCGGCGCCGATAGCGCCAAAACGGTCCGTGTTTCTTTCTCGGTCAACGACTGCTTCCCCATGAAATCCGATAACTTCCAGGCTGTGTTCAGTCCGGTTTGTGGGATGCTCAAGTGCATTGATAGCTCGACAGAACGGCTGATTATCGAGCATGTAATATGCAAATTCTTGTACGATGCCCTGACGGCGATTCGCTGGATGCTGCGGAATGTCCATATTAAACAGCTCATCTTTCACAATGTGGAAATCGACTGGGATCATGGTCTCCAAGTGGAGAGCATAGCCGGGGTGCCGGTGGTGGAAGCGGATGTAGGCCGGGTGTTTGTCCGCTATCTGACGGCGGCGCTCCACGGTCTGGCGCCGTTCTGCGATGAACTGCGGATGCGCCAATGCGAATTCGACTGTCGCGATGCCAATATAATGAGGGCAGTGATTGCGGACGCGATGATTCAGCTGGATGCAGCGGATATGGAAGCACAGTTCTGGGATCTCTATGAAACGAATCTGCCGCGCGATGAAGTGAATGTGGAGGAGACGACCGAATGGATTCGTACAGGATCGAAACTTTTTCGCCGGATGGTGGCTCAGGTTAAGTACGCGCAGGAGTTATAGCAAAAGTAGCTATTCTATGGGCAACAGCCTACCAAATAACAAACAATTCAAGCGCAGGTACAGCACTTTATGGTCTGAATAATTTTAATCATTAAAAAAGACAACCAAAGTCGCTGTCCTCTCTCGGGTTAAAAGGTAGCATTTCCTGAAACAACAGCAAGACTAAAATGCTGCTTGAGAAAAGCAGCAGAATGCGCTTCTCCAGTTAAATTGCGAAATTTGCGACGCTAATATGTACCGGTTCACTTATAAGCAGGACCGAAAACTCCCAACGTTTCCATCACTAAAGGATAAACATTTTATTGGAAAGACTTTACACGACTATTTAAGAAACGTTCAGCTGCATTGCCCCCTCTCGCTCGTGGGCTACAGTAGCTTTGATTCTCGCCAATGGGTGGCTGGTATTTCTAATAATTAATGACCGGTATACAAAACTACGTACTTGTCCTAAGAAACTGTAGGAATGTCCGTTATAGGGCAGCGGAACCGGCTGATACTGCTCGACATATTGCTAACCCAACGACTGAAGATACCGCAGGAAATACAACGCTATAGATACTAAACCGCACGTACAGGAACAGGAAATACAAGGGGCGGGACAACCAAACACACACTCGTACATATTAATACAGCAGACGGGAATCCCCCGTTACAGAATTTAAAAAAAAGCTTTCTGTGGTTTCTATAGTTCCGCACTAAATATCGGTTCGTATGCTTGCACAGGATACAATAACAAATTGTTTACGTATGAGATGTAGCATTTTATTGTGTTTGGAATTCAAGTGTACTCTCAGAGTCTCAGTTGATATGGTGTGTTGTCTGGTGCAGTATCTAGAGGGCTGGCAAAGCTATGATCCGCGATTGACGACACACTACCGCGGTCAAGCGTGGACGGCGGATATCCTCAGTGAAGTGGATGTTTCCAAACTGACCACCATAACGCTGAGTGCTTTGAAGGAAGTTCTTCCCGGAGATTTGGGGCAGGCGATTCGGTCAGGTGATTTTGAAGACGACGATGATGACGATGTCGACGAAGTTCCCGAAGACGATGAAGACATCCAAGATAACGAAGACGCCGAAGAATAGTTCGCCAGATACTGCCAATTAGGTGGTAGTTAATACTCACTGCACGGAAATATTTTTCCTTTTTATTTTCGTCCCGACTCCCAACGGATGAGTTCTCCATGTTTTGTTTCGGTTGCATTAATGATACCCATTCATGTCTGGTTCGAATCGGTACAACGCTTTGCTGTAGATAAGGGCTCTCGCAGTTACGTTTGAGTTTATGACGAATCGATGACGCTCTTTAGCTTCTTTATACGCGCATTATTAAGTACCAGCAAAAGCTGGCATAAACGCCTGACTTTCATTGCAGTGTACCGGAAGTATCACTTCCGATCTACTACTCGTAGTTTTACAGGCACTGAATTACCACTAAGTACAGGCAGTGTTTTTCCGATTTTGCTACGCAGTACACCCTTCATTTTTTCCGCGTTATTCATTGCACGCAGAATATCGTTTCTACGGTAGTCGGGAATTAATACTGTTTCCGTAATCCCTAATGGCCGTAATCCTACGCAGACCGACTTTGTGCTTGTGGCAAGCCGCAACCCACCGACATTCAAGAAGTCTTGCCGCGCAGCGGAAAACACTTTCCCCAATCTGAATTACTCCAAAGTGCCCAGAGACGAAAGCACCACTGCAGCGGGGCTCGCGGACAAGATTAATATGATCGCGGCGGAAGTACGTAGCTTGTAATTTCAGCTGTCCTATGGTACTGAAAATGTATTTTGTTGATGTGCTCGAGGTACACTACAGGGAATCAGTGCAACGGTATAAGTGTAGCCAATAGCTACGGAAAGAAAATTAAAGAAAAGTACTTTTTCTCAGAAGTCGTTTTTATAAAAATTAATTACCTCTGTGAACTTCGTTTGTCAGGAAATTTAACTAACTGGTGACCGTAATATGAACCATACACTCAAAGTGACCGGAATACGAGCAAAAAGCGAAGTACATAAAGAAAATATTAAGATACCGGTAGAGTAAAACCAGTGTATTTTGCACGCCACCTGCAGTTCCTTCGAAAGCGTTAAGGGAAGTGGCCCGGTTCATGGCACCAAATTCGTGTACATGCACAAAAACTTTTACTTCCGCGCATTCCCAAACACTTTTTTGTTTCGGTTTATGACATTCTGCAGCCAGAAGATTTGTGTACACTAACGTGAAAACCGTTTGTGCGCGCAACATCCGGTTCGGGAGTAATGGCTGTTAGAAAATTCCAAAAAGTTTAAATGCGTTCCGGTGTACCAAAAGTTTCATTACGGACCGATCTCCCTCGAATTTTGCACATAAATGCACATAACCATGAAGGGCGTTTTTACACCGATCAGCTGTTCTAGCATGTTTTTCTTAAAATCTGAAATAAATCATGGAAGTCTGGATCGGTGTCAAAACGACCTTCATGGCCATGTGCATTTATGTGCAAAATTTGAGGGAGATCGGTATGATGACATTTGAGGGATGTTGCGCGCATAAACGGTTTTCACGCCAGTGTATACAAATCTTCTGGCTACAAAACGTCATAAACCGAAACAAAAATGTGTTTGGGAGAGCGCGAAAGCGAAAGTTTTCATGCATGTACACGAATTTGGTACCATGTACCGGCCCACTTCCCTTAACTGTAAGCGACCGTTCGATATTCGCAGTCGTATTCGCAGTCTACAAAACGCTGCGGTTCCAAGCTTCCAATCTTTGCAAGGATTCAAACTTCAATGTTCATATTGTTCAACCTTGCAGAGTACCAAATCGTCGTAGTGAAATCGAACTGTGTACTGTATAAATTATAATATATATACATTATACATGTACCTAGGGTAGATATGAACGAAGATGATTCTCTAGTGCGTAATGACCAACCACCCGGTGATGATGAGCAATGATAGTTTATGACGCACCGCACGCGGCGGTGTGTTTGCAGTCCTTGCGGCAAATGCAAGGTTACTGTGGCTCGTGCTGCAGCTTGCTGTTTGAAGGATTTCTGGGCAGTTTGATGTCTCAAGTTTAAGTTTTCTGTTCGGTAGTTCACCAAGTTGTTTTAAGTACCGGATTGCAGTTTTTATTGGATGAGAATGCATCTTTATGGAGAAAGAAGTTCTAAGTACCATCCCGTACACCAATGGAACTCAGTGGATGTGCTGACAGAGAGTGGCTTCTTTCAGCACGGCGAAGTGATCGATGTGGCGGAGAACGGTCTGATCGTGGATTTCCGCTGCAGCGGCCAACGATCGCAGTTAGTCAGCCTCGAGAAAATCTTTGACGCGTCCGTCGTCCCGTGTTCGGCGCCGTACAGAGATTGGCATGATGAACTGCAGCGCAGTCCCGCACTAACGGAGAATGCCCGCGTGCAAGTACTGTGGCGCTCGCAACAGGGTGCTGCTTGGCTGTGGTATCCTGCGCGGCTCCTGCATCGTGCTTTCTTCTTCCCATTTGATAAGGTTCATCTCGTGTATGTCGAAGTTGAACTGGACGGTCGACAACAAGCGGAACTGTTCAACGTTGATCAAGTGCGATTCAAACCGTCAGAGAAGGATCTTGCCAAACGAGCAGTGAAGGTGAGATGCTTTGTATCGCGAGAACAGCTTTTGCCTGCGAATTATTGGCAGACCATCACTTCTTTGCCAGCTGAACGTTTTCGGGAACAGCTTCAATTTAATAAGGATACTTCTATCCGTGTTACCGCGATCCTTAGCGATACACTGAAGTATGTGCAGCGAACGGACACGAAGCCCCTGACGAAAAGGATGTGGTGCGTCGTTAGTGTTACTATGTAGTTTAATGGCAGCAGCCCCTTAGGGCAAACAAGCGCACGATGTAATAAGTTTATTTGCTTTATTTCACCTGACCCACAGTATGATGCATCGCCTTGCTTGGTAAAGTGTAGTTTTTCAATGCAACAGAAAATCATTTGTCATTATGTCTTACTTGTTCTGAGAAAACTTACACTAAACATGATACAAAAAGTTTTGAAAGTATATCAGCATTGTGAGGAAACCCAAATTTTATAGACGCAGCTTTTTATGGTGTATGTGTTTGTGATAGGAAAAAGCGTACCAGACGAGCCTAAAAGAGTTTGCACACGAGCAGCACTGGGTAAATAAGATACAGCGTGCTCTCAAACAAGCGAAACGCTTTCGCGCGGTTGATATCGCTAGAAAGCGTAAACATCCTGGCGATGACGGACAGACGACAATGAAACATGTACTGCCTGCTGAGACGCATCTCCTGCGCGAGATCTTCCACTCACTGGATACCGTCAGCCGCCAGAAACTGCGGCGCGTCTGTCCGCTGTGGAATGCCGTCTTGACTGGCGCGGACAGCAGGAAAACCGTCTGGATTTCCTTCGAGATGAACCCGTTTTTTCTACTGACAGTGGAGGATTTTACCTACGTTTATGGCGCTGTCGCTTGCCTGATTAAGAGCATTAACAGTTCCACGCAACGATTGGTTGTAGAGTGTATGAAGGGGGAAAATATGGGCGGTGCCGTAGCGGTTGTTCGCTGGATGCTGGGCGGTATTCGTTTGAAACAGCTGATATTTCAGAGTTTGAAATTGGATTGGGATGATCGTTTCGTGCAAGATTACGCTGACAACGGTGATGTTGTCGAGGAAGTAGATGATGGAAGCAACAAGGTGATACGGCGCTTGGTTAAAGACTTGAAGAGTTTACCGCCGTGCTGCACTGAAGTCAGACTGCGCCAGTGTGAATTTTATTGGTACCGAGGCTGCCGACGGATGACGGCGATTATCCCCAATGCTGCGATTCAACTGGATGCCGCGGATATCGAAGCGCAATTCTGGGATCTCTATGAGGCCACTCAGGCCAGTCTGTCGCGCGATGGAGTGAATGTGGAGGTGATGGCGGAATGGATTCGATCAGGATCGGAAGAACGCCGTACAATGGCTGCTCAGGTAGAAAAATCTTCTGGACTGAATTTGTTGAATTGTCTTGTGTATATTACCGATCTTGTAACTGTTTCAAATTAATTCTACAGTAGCGGAACTGAAAATTTAGTTTACTTGCATCAATTATGATTTGCACTTCAACATTACAAGTTGGTTGATCGACAGTTGCTTAATGACTGGCAAAGTCGCGATCCGCGATTAACTACGCAGTATCGCGGTCACGAGTGGACGGAGGAGAATCTGGAGGATGTGGATGTTTCCCAGCTGACCACCATCACGCTGCGTGCATTGACAGAAGTTTCGGCATCTGCGAATAGTTGTGAAGGCGTTCAACCTGACGAAGACAATGATGGCGGTGAACTCAACGAAGACATCATCGGGGACGAAGACTTGATTGATGAGGACGAGGTCGCAGATTACGATGGCAGTGAGTCGGACGAAGACTTCGAAGCCGATAAATAATTTGCCCGAGGCTGTCCTAAACGGCAGGGGTAAAACGTGGCAGTGGCACCTGCCAGTGGCACTGCCAATGGCATGGCAAGCGATATAACCTGGAGACTCTGGCAAGTGGCAGGCGATAAAATCTGGCAGATTCCGCATAAAATGTGGCAACTAGTACGTTTTTGGTCAACTGCATAATTTTTTTAACATCTTGCCGGTAAAGCGTCAGTTTGACATGCCTATTGTTAATCACTTTATTGGCCATGCACGAAGTTCTTAAGTAAGCGCCGGCATACACAATTTCAAAAGGTCGTATTGCATTACTTCCAGATCTACAAAGTAGAAAGGACACCGCTGGCATAAGGCCTGCGAATGAACGCGGTGCTGTAAGCGGTTAACAGCGTGGGTACAGTGTTGATGACACTCTCCGGGTCAGTGCAGTACATTGTATCAGCCAACCTGGCTACCAGCACGGTAGACGCCCGCTTGTAGCCGGCAGAAAGGTGGACGGGTGGATGTTGGATGGTCAATGAAATCGCATCCACCAATCTGCCGACCTTCAGCAGACTGGTGGATGAGCCGTCCACCTTTTTGCCGAAGCACATCCACGTTTTTCTAAAGCCGTCCACCTTTCTGCCGATCCAACCCGTCGGTGTCGATTGATATAACAATGACGCCAATGAATGAATATAGGTCCATTGTGAGATCAGTGCAAGCGTACACTGCTTGGTGGTGGGTGCAGTCACTCAGATATTTCCTTCACTCTGTCTGAACATGTCTTCCTACTCGTCTTTGTTATCCGGGGAGATTTGCTTCTGTTTTCTAAATTTAATTTAAAAAACTAAAGCTAGATGAGGAGCACCGTGCTTCTTGTCAATCAGCTAGTCAGCTGCCTGTCTCCGCAGACGAAAAAGTGAAGGCCAGAACGTTTCCTCTCGTTCAGTTCTCGGTAAGTCCACACCGTCAACTTTCCAAGGTTCGTAAGAACATAGGAAAACATTCGTAAGTTTTTCGCACCGAGTAAATTGCCTTTTGTTGCGAATAATGTAAATTACAGATCACTATAAGTTCGCAGTAAACTTGGGACAGCCAGTGCAATTGGGGTTCTCGCAGATAAGCAGTCCTAATTTTCGTTATTCGCCACAGCCAGCATACCGAATAGCTTCTAGAAGTTTTTCTTACCTTTTGGCATGTTGACTGGTTAAATCTACTAAACACTGAAGGAGATGAAAGAATTTGGTCTTCACTGTTGCGAAGAGCTGAGCTGCTGAGCTGAGAGACAGCCAGCTGATTAGCTGATTGACAACGCGACTACAGTCCTCCTCGTTTACCTCTTCGGTTTTATTTAAACTTCAGAAATAAAACAAAATCACTTCGGAGAAGAAAAGCAAGTAGAACGACATGGCATTCAGACAGAGTAATTGGAATATCTAATTGACTGCATCCACCTTTCTGCCGGAGCAGTGTACGCTTGCATTGATCTTACAATGGACCTAAATGCATTCATTGGCGTCATTGTCATATCAATCGACACCGACGGGTTGGATCGGCAGAAAGGTGGACGGGTGTAGAAAATGGTGGATGTGTTCCGGCAGAAAGGTGGACGGCTCATGCACCAACCTGCCGACCTTCGGCAGAAAGGTGGATGTGATCCAGCAGAAAGGTGGATGTGATCCGGCAGAAAGGTGGACGGCTCATCCACCAATCTGCCGAAGGTCGGCAGATTGGTGGATGCGATTTCAATGAACATCCACCGTCCACCTTTCTGCCGGCTACACCCGCTGACACATCACCTGGGCCTGCTTTTACTCGAATTTTGTAGCAGTGTTAGCTAACACCTTCACTTTCGCGCACCCAAACCTTTTTCCTTTGCTTTAAGCCATTCTAATCAAATACTTTGCATACACTGGCGAGAAAATTATTTATAAGGCATTCAACATCCGGTTGGAGAGAGAATGATGGAAATAAAGTTTCAGTTGTTCAAACGCACTGCAATCAGTGCAATGTACAAAAGTTTCACTATAGATTATTGTCTTTTACCTTGAACAACACCGAGGCAGGTTTCCACAGTTTCTTTCCTGTGCCCAAAAACGGTCTTCAGGCCAATGAATACAAATAATTTGGCTATAAAAATGTCGTGAAACTATACTAAAAGGTATGCGAAAGTGCGCGAAAGCGAGAAATACCGTGAACGGTGCATGAATACAGTTTGATACCATCCATCGGCACACTTCCCTTAAATAGAAGTCCGGGAGAAAACGGCACTGAGCTCCGGTTTATATCCCGGAACTGAGCAAAACTACCTTCGCTTTATGCGTAGTTTATACCCAAAATATAGTTGATCAAAATTCAAAACGAAGAAATCTCAGATTTAACTTCTATTTGACTTTAAGCGCTACTTCCTGTTGGCTGTGATACATTTTGGACATTTCCGGCAGGAGATATCGATGTACGGTATGTTGATACTAATTATGGGAAAAATGGTGCAAACATAGAGTAAGCTATGGGCTTAATATTACTTGCGCAAATTGACATAATAGTCGAACACGCAAATACAGAACGCAAATATAGACTACCACGAATTTAATTTCACGTAGCGTGTCCCGCTATGATTCTGTCTACCTTGATGGAGTCCACTTTTCATGAACATGACGGTACTGCAGCAGAAGTCGGCATTGTTAGGCACATCAAAAAGTAAAAACAGCGTCCCAATCAGAGTCAAATGTGTATGAACATTTCAACGCAACCGATTTTAACGTGCGCACAGGGTCGCATATCGCACATCAAAAATATGAAACAAAGAAATCAATTTCTGTTAACTTTGCCGCTTGGGTTCATCTGAGCTCTGCTTGTGTCGTCGTTTAAGTACAACGGGCGAAAGTAAACCATCTAGTGAACCTGCGAAACTATAAGAGCTGATAAGGCTAGCCGCTAGCTGTTTGTAGAGCTATGCTGCATTTTATTTATACTGCCAATGTAAAAGTGGGCGCCAACAAGGCGCCGATTTTTTTAGAATAACAACGAAGTTTCACATGCCCGCATCCCGAACATGAACCGAACCGGCGATAGTCTGCAGTCAAAACATTACTCTGTAGCCTGCACAGATAGGTCGTGCTACACAAGCGCGGCTTCACTCACTCATTAACTATCCTTTTCTCCGCAGAAATCAATTCGTGATGCTTTACAAATTACAACGATATAGTGTCCCTTGTGATTCAAAACATTTTGTCTTCAATATTACGACAGATCGTGGAGAATTACTGGGTATGTTTAATTAACATTACAATGTCTAACATGACCGATAAATAATTTTTTATGACTGTAAAAGTATGATCACTAGGTCATATTTTATTATCAGTTTTGATTGATAATGATGCAGTATTAACACGTATCCGTATAGTTATTAATAATGAGTTAACTACAGCTAGCGCCCCGCCAGTATAGTTCACGTTCTAGAGTTTGTTACAATTTCAGTTACTTTTTATCAGCGGTTTGACATAAAGCATATATCTGTACAATGCACTGCGCACTGTACCAATATGTTTGTAGATGCAATTTTGGGTACAATCATTGCCTCTGTCCACTTTCCAGTAGTACAACATCATACACCATGAATTGTTTGTTAGCTCCTGAATGGGCTCACTGGAGAGTGGGAATCATACAAATTTTAATTTATAAGTGCTGTGTCAGGCGTAATGTTTAATTTATAAATGCTGTGTCAGGCGCTACAGCATGCAAAATTGTTCGCACAATTTTGCATGCTGTAGTATAGTACAGTACTATGCTGAAAAACGACTACCCAGAAAATAATTGGGAAAATCAATTGAATATGTAAATGTTAGTAAAACGGGTCTAAACGTTTATATTTCCAGTTGATCTCATAAAATTAGATCAGAATTGTTTTGGATTTGACAGAAGTGTTTAATTACTTTAATACACGCGTTGACTTACGGCAGCCATCACAAGTTAAACCATCAAATGAGTGTGCCGAGAAAACTAAAGATTCATTCTTTCACCAATTAACGGCACCTGATTAACCGAATAACGTGTCAGGCAGCTTTATGGTTAACCGCAAGCAAGGTGGATAGGGCATACCGCAAGGCATATAGGGTGGAAAGCAAGTCTACTCGGCCCGTTTCCCTGTACTGCTGCCGTTACCCGCAAGGAGTGTGACGTTACGGCATTACATACGGTTAAATCAGGCGCGGTACATAAGCACCATCTATAGCCACCACGTAAAACACCAGCCAGCCGACTGACATCAGAAGTACAAGGGACTGGTTTGGCTAGACTTGTTTCCCCATATTTCAGCGGCTTGCATTCTACAGTTCTACTCGACAATCTGTGAGTGCCTCGTCAGCCGCGATTACGCGCCTTGCGATTCTGTTTTATGGCGCTACTTTGCGCAAAATGCGATGTGACCTTTTGAAATTGTGTATGCCGGCGCTTACTTAAGAACTTCGTGCATGGCCAATAAAGTGATTAACAATAGGCATGTCAAACTGACGCTTTACCGGCAAGATGTTAAAAAATTATGCAGTTGACCAAAAACTTACTAGTTGCCACATTTTATGCGGCATCTGCCAGGTTTTATCGCTTGCCAGTTGCCAGAGTCTCCAGGTTTTATCGCTTGCCATGCCATTGGCAGTGCCACTGGCAGGTGCCACTGCCACGTTTTACCCCCTGCCGTCCTAAACATGGTGCGCAATGCATATCTTTCCGGGATATTTTTGCGGTTTTTAACCGTATTTTGCGTATTGGGTGCCCTGTTTATTTTACACCTACTGTATTTCTGGTTAGAATGCCATTTCTGGTTTGCAATTAATGAGCCGTGTCCTAAGTTTGACCGGTTACGGTCGCCGGTCGGTAATATAATGATTAAAAAACTGCCGATATGCCGAAACTAATGGAGAAAAAACTAGAAAAAAAAAGAATCTGTAGCAGGTTCTTCGTGTCACCGGCGATCACTAACGCTAGAAATATCACTCCAGCTAAGGACCACACGGCACGAGGTGCACTATCGTCAAAGATTTCAGATAAGCAGGAGTATGCACGTTTGCACAAGTATGCAGCAGAATAACTGTTAAAGCCTGCAGAGGAGCTAACGTGGCAGTTTGATGAAGGAACTGGCAACAAATGGTATATCAGAACGGTAGACCACTAGGAAACTGTAGATTTTTTCCCATTTTTTCAGTGTTTAGGCCTAGAGAGGCCTAGAGATCACACTCCCAGTGATCCGAGAACGAATATCACGCTACCTGTCTAAATTTTCCAGTAACAATTTATGAAAAATTCGGTAATAAGTGAGTAAAAGGGTTTATGCGAAATTAGTATAAAATGGATGCAAAATTAGGGTATAAAAGCTTTTATAATAACTTGTAACTTCGGCTGCAGTACGTAGGTAATACTGATTCAGACGGCTGTCATTTTTTGCCGATGGGCCTGTTATATATATGAATGCTATATGCTTACGAATTAATGTAATTTTATAAGCAAAAGTTTAAGAGGGAGTCGCCGAGTAGAATATTTCTGGAAAATCGATTACGGGTATGAGTATGGTAGTACAGCAGTTGAAAGGTACAGGTCGGCAGACTTATATAGAACATATTGTATATATTTGAAAATATTGTTAATTAGCGAACGTTTGTTGTCTGCTGTTCGTCAAGGCAGAGATGCGCGGCATAGTAAACCTAAAACAATACTCGGATAGGCTTCAGCTTGCGAAGACGAAATATGCATGAAAATGTGCCATGAGTAAATCCACTCAGATAGCTGCAGCAATACTGTGATACCTGAAGTCTGATATTTTTACACATTTGATTATTTTTACACACTTCACACACGGCAAAATATGAGATTTTTTGAATTATTTTTAAGTAAACGCTTGTACAGAGTCCGAGAACTGAGAAGTACACCACTGCATTGTAACAGTATGTAGTATCAACAATTCTGTTAACTTTGTTTGGCCATCTTCTTTGAGCCTCAGCACATAAAAATGATTTTTTTTAATTATACTTAAGTGGTATAGTAATTTTTGCAGAAGATGAGATTTTTCTGAATTTGGACCAGATAAATGTGCCCTGCTAACGGATCAAAATTCTTAAAGCCACGGTAAGAAGATCACAACAACATTACCTATGTCGCTTGACGTCAGGAAGGGTAATTTGTGAAGGTGTTTCAAGCGTTAATTGCCGTGCACTCTAATGAATCAGTGGCGTATTCTGCTGATGGTTAGCTTAACCGCAGTTTAATGAAGCGCGTCATGTATGCAGTTGACAAGGGTTTACCCTGGGTATGACTGCTCGTGCACCTGTAAACCGGCACCACATCCGCCCCTCCTCCTCGTCATTTTCCTCCTTCAAATTGGCGGCTTTGAGGCCGCGGCGCACGCGACGAATCCGCATTAATCTCCTGTATACCATCTGCCGGGCCTGAGTGACGCGCTGCACAGTGGCACTGATCACTGTTATGGTTTGCCTAATGGCCATAATCGCCGAATCCGCATAGCTCCCGTTTGCACGCGGAAATGTATACATCCCCAGCCGTGTGTGTGTGTTTACACTATAAAGCCAACTAACATAACAAGCGTTTTCTGTTACGAATAATCGCACTTCGCGACAGCAGTCGTCGGCTGTGCCGTGACCCTTGGTTAAATATCCCACCCAGCTTTTCTTTCTCAACTACTCTGTATACATTCGCTTCACGAGATCGACGGTTGACTTTTACTGACATTTTCTTCGTGGCTTCCCATTTCCCGATGCTAGTGATAAACGGAAAGACCCCCAAACATCCGCCATGTCATCCAGTGTCACCCACAAGTCACCCCGTGGCACCAGGCTCTCCCCAGCCACCGGCAGTCCCGCGCACAGTCCGTTCAGCCACATGCACTCACCTGGCCATCACCACACCAGTACCCGGGATACCCCTCGGACGACGCGGAATATTTTTGGTGGTGGATGGTCAACGCTGAAAGATGCCATCCGGGACGGAGCCTTCTCCCCGGGGCGGATCAGGCAGCATCTGGGAATGGGCGGCTCCCATCAGGTGGTAGAGGATGTGCCCTCCGATGGGCTGTGGACGGAGCTGCACCGCGGGGGTGTGCCGGTCAGGACGCAAGTTGCGCCAGAAAAGGAGAAGATGGATAGGCTGTTTGGGATGCAGGTCGGTATCTGGTTCGCCATTGGGGAAGCGTTTGCGAAAGGTGGTTTCGGGGAGGTGCGGTACGGTTACCACAAGTCCATGTCGGCGAAACGATTTGCGGTCAAGGTCGAATCCTTGGGACACACCGGGATGCGCCATTTATCCGCTGAATACAACATTTACTCCATTTTGGGAGATGCGCAGGGAATACCGCGATGCTATTACTATGGCTTGTGCGGTACCGCGCACAACGCTCTGGTGAGTTCTAATCAACTGTGTGTACCTTTCTAGCGTGAAATCAACTTGTTCAGTGAACAGTATGGTGATTTGGCAAAGTACAGAGTAATCGTACTGTTTATGTTGATAACATGCGGTTCGTTGTCGTATGTGTCGTTTGTCTTGAATACCACGTGATCGCGCGTAGAAAGTTCTGCTTAATTAAACTAGTACCGCGCTAACATCCGGTTGCGGAGATAAGGCGTACCAAAATGGGTGAAAAGTTTAAACGCACTGTTGTGTACCAAAAGGCTGGTCATTACCCGATCTTCTTGAAACTTTGCTGCAAAAGTCGTATGACCATCAATTCAAAAGTGAACCAATTTCAGGTTCATAGCACTTTCCCATAACTGTAAATAAATATTGAATTTAGGAAATTCATTTAAAAATCCGGAAAACAATGTTATGGATCTGATGTTGGTGCACTTTCGACTTCGTGTCTTTTGTGCCGAAACCAAGTGTTTGACATGTGTCTGTTGTACCAAGAAGTTTGGGTAATAGTCAGATTTTTGGCACACAACAATGCTTTTGAACTTTTCGCCCCTTTCAGTACGCCATATCTCGGTAACCAGATATTGCGCGCACAAACGGTTCTCAGACCAATGTATACAAGTCATTTAGCTTCAGAACGACATAAAGTATTACAAAAAGAGTGATTCTGAGTGCGCAAAAGTGAAAGTTTAACTGTGTGTACCCCATTTTTGACACCATGTACCGTGCCATTTCCCTAAGCCGATTTCTACGGTGATTTCTCACGTACGTACTTTGTTGTTTACGTACGGTTTACGTATGTTTACGTTCTCACGTACGGCCTTTGTTTTCGGATGGCCTTGAATATTTGTGGCGGTCAATGTTTTGAAATTTCTGTAAGATGGTTGCCTGCTGAAAACGACTAACTCAAAACAAATAACCGAAGAGGTCATAGTTCGTTTAACTGCACCAGGAAGACGCCTCAATACAATGATCATTTACGAGATACATATTGAATTGAAAAATGTTCAGGCTGGGTCCTGAGCTGACAGTAGCAAATAACTGGCATTTGCGCAGTACCGTGAAATGAACGTGCCGACCACCACATTGTCAGTTACCAAGGACGTGAATGGCTGCCTCCTTCTGACTCACTGATTGCTCCGGTTACTCTAATTGTCCTGAAGACCTAATAATACGTATCAACTATCAGGGAACAACACACAACTCCCATGCAGCGTTACAGGCGCGCGCTTCGAATCTGTGACAGCGGAGCACAGGCGACCAAAGTAATAACCAGCGAATCAGCGATTGAAAGCGTCTTGTGCACATACGGTACAAATTTGTTGATTGTATGACACTCGTATCAAATGGCTGGATTGCCCGGGTGCTGCAGGAGCATACAGTACACTGAGTACAGGAACGCACTGCGCACGATTATTACCAGCACAGTAAAAGGAGCTTTTGGATGGTATAATTACAGTATGTCATACTCGTAGTGTCATTGCTGCGAGCGAAAGTGGCTGGACAGCGTTATTATGCTGCTGATTGATCTATGGTGTAAAGATTTACCAGGCAATGCGCGGGTGGGGCGTATACAAGTACTGCAACTCTGGGAAAATTACAGGTAATGGACTTGATGGGACCGTCACTGGATGACATCTTCGAGCAGATGGAACGCAAATTCACCTTACAAACCGTGTGTCTCATTGCACTCCAGTGCTTCGAACGGTTACAGTATATGCACAGAAAAGGTATCGTTCATGGCGACGTCAAGGGAGAAAACTTCCTCACCGGTCTGCCAAACGACGGCATGGACAATGGTAAATAAAAATAAATCAATAAAAACATGTCAAAATCATTGGAACATTCACTAACAGATTAGCAACTTGCACGTGCCAATTGCGGGGAAGCAAAAGTCAATATTTCTATGCAGATTTGTGGACGTAGCAGCAGACGAACACTCTGAAATGCAGTTACAAGTAATCAGAATCCAATACACGGGAAAATAATTGATACTTCTGCGATTTTCTCTCCAGCTGCTACTTATAAAACTGCTCTAGCAATGTAATCACTAAATTGCAGGACCTGATATTATAAAAAAGGCCGCTCACGGTCCTCTGATGTGCACCGGCATTAAGACATATTAGCTGAAAACTCTTTCTTTATTGCAGTGATTTACATTGTGGATTTCGGATTGAGCCAGGTGCTGAAAGATCAGGAACAGGGAAGGTTCCTGTACAATGAGAACAGTATTGTCTGCCCGTCCGGTACACCGCGTTACATGTCCATCTCCGCCCATAATGGAAATGCGCTATCATACCGAGATGGTAATTGTCATGCAGAGCACTGTGTCATCATCGCATCTTTTATTTACGCAAATTACCGCCATGAAAATTACAGTCCGCATTTTCGAGAATGTTCCAGATGAACGAAAAATGAATTGCGCTGGCGTATGACGGAGATCCCATGGCAGATACGTGAATAAAGAGGCTACAGCTGAAATGCATGGTTTTGTTGCAGATCTGGAATCACTGGCATATGTCCTGGTCTACTTCCTTAAAGGTCGCCTGCCCTGGCAGGGTATCTATGAGAAAGACACGTCCAAGAAGAACGCGATGATCAGAGCACGCAAAGCTGAAGAAGCCGCGGAGAGCATCTGTTCTAACTGTCCTGCTGAATTTGCTCAGCTGCTACGATATTCACGGGCGCTCAAGTTCCACGAAGAGCCGGATTACGTGTATCTCGTGCAGTTGTTCCGGGATCTCTTAGCCCGTATCCAGGCGCAAGAGCGAGCGCAGGCCCTGGCGCACGCCCAACCGGTAGCCGCGGCGCTGGTTGGATCCTGGACGGAAACTCATACCGAGACAGCAACCAATAACACGTCGAGCGATAGCAAAGACTCCGGCAACCATTCCATCGGGGAAGGGGCCAGGCAGTTGGCGGAGATCCCTGATGAGGATGCGGCACCGTCCGCGACCCAGGTCATCGTGGCAACCACCTTCGATTGGGTGGGAAAGGATTTGAAGATCCGCAAAGAACCCAACCGGCATCCCATCTTACCACGCGTTGATTCCCCGAAAAAAGCCAGCGTCCCGTCGCTGCGCCTGGAGCTGGTGCAATCGCCGGTACCGCGGCAGGAGCAGTTAGGGCGTCTTCTCAACGCCCAACGCCAGTCCGCGCACCAGCTAACCATCAACAGTAATCACTCTCCCAGCCATTCTCGTTTCGCTCAGCCGCCACCCCTCCGGCATTCTCCTTCAGTACCGTCTGCTTTTGTCAACAGCCAGCTGTGGCCGGACACCAAGCTCGCTGATACCAATCTCTCGCCCAGCAACGGCGATACCGCGGCGAAATACTCGGATGGCAGTGGTCGGACGGCCGATCAGCAGCCGACAGTGCCGATAGCCCAGTCGGTTATATCGGCCGAATCCACACTCTCCATCTCGGTTATCTTGTCCACGGACGCTGATGCGCAGCAATGCTTATCGGGCGATATACGAAATTCTAACGAATTACTAAGCGACGATTACACCGGTGAAGCCAAACCGTCGCTGTCGCCTTCACATGGCCAACCCACAACCTCGTTGAATATTACGCCGGTAGGTGCGGTGAGGCCGCATCCTTCACAGCAGCCTCAGTTAGAACTACCCATTGACCAGTCCTTGCCGTCGCCATTTAGCACCCAACGGACACGAAAAGTCTCGGTGTTTTTCCGTCCTACAACGACATCATTACCGAAACCGGATGTTGCAACCGGCAGTCTGTCACATGAAGATAATTTATCGTTGACTAACGATCAGCTTTCGCTGCTTTCCCTGGACGTCCCGGTAACGCAGTTCACGGAATCATCCGGCAAGCATTCGGAGTTTACTCATTCACAGAAAGCAGAATATAAGTCCGCATCACCAGTCCGCGGCCAAAAGCCCGATGTGCCCAGTGGCAAAACACCGGTTGCAGTGTCAGGCAAACAGAACAGCCAACCACCGTCATCGCGACAGGCCGTGGCTACCGTGACGTCACCGAAATCCGCTAACCGAACAGCAGGCTCGTTGGCGACGGCACGCTCCCGCTTAAGCAGTCCGAATACGGGTGTCACATTTGCACGAGCGGGATTACGGTATGGCAGCGGAGATGTCAGACAGCCGGAGACGCCACGGGCCGACAATTTCCGGGCGTCGATGTCTGGCGTAAAGCAGCGCAGTAATGCCGCGGCAGGAAGTGCACCGTCCCCGAAGAACGCCGTAATCAATCATCCATCCGCCGGGGCCAATACGACACTAAACCGTATTTACCCAACTGGTAAGCAGCATCATATCACGAGGGTTTTAATATAAGTACTAGTACAGCACTCGCATGCTGCTTCTCTGATAAACATATTAGGGCTTTGCAGGTGTTGCTACAAGTTTTTCTTTGGATGCTTTTTTTCGCCTTCAAACATTATTGTATTGTACAATATTTGTCATACGCTCGGAAGTGTTTGTTTTCATAACGCAGTCGAATAACGTACATGGTTAATGCCGATGCAGATGTCAAAGTGGATGATGAACCGGTGATCCTGTCATCTGCCAGTTGTTTTGGCTGGTTGCAACGTCGCACTCGTTGCGGCGTTAAGAGCAAACGGCGTGCTCGTATCTCCTCGGATAGTTCCGTGCCGTCCATGCACTCTGTGCAGCCGTTCTCCGCTTTTCCTATGCGCGTCCCCATTCCCAGTGCGTCGATTATGACCAGCAGCACTATTGCCACCAGTGATATACAGCCAGTCAATAATCTGACGGAAAAAAGTGCAACACTTCCCAACACACCGTTAAATACAAGGGTGGCCACTAAATGGCACTAACCGAGCTACATCCGCCCACCAAAGCGCTAAAGCAAAAACTGGAGCTCCCAGTTCCTCAGTACTCTATCAAACGGGGAACGGCAGATCGCCATGTGTTACGGGCGATCCCTTTGCGTTAGACGCCCCGCCAAAAGTGGTTAGCTAACTCGGACAGATGATACGTCAGGAGCCGGGCCTGATATGGGCGTCAGCGGTTCAGCATCGAAACCCAACGTGGAAATGCGGCCGCTGTCATGGGAACAGCACCAGCACTGGCTAATTTGGATGAAATATTCTGTATAATTCAGTCGCCTATTTCTGCTGTCTGCCGAAGCTGTGGAATCTGCACATCTTTTGAACAGTGATAGAAAATTGTGACTTCTGTATACCGCTACTCGGAATAAAATACACAAAACGTTAAGTATGTACTAGACCGAATCCTGTATGCACTGTGCTGATATCTGTTGTACCGATTACTGAAATATGATTGGCTAGTGGGAGTTAAAGAGAAAGCGCATCTTTAACTTATAGAGCCGTTAGTGGAGAACCCTTAGTAAGCGTGTTTTTAGTAGCTTTAGTTAGTGCTTGTTATAGGCTGTAACTGTGTAACAGAGCGTTGCCGGCAAATTCCAGTGTACCAATTTTTAACGTCACAACAACTACTGCAATTTTCGATATCATTGACTTATAATAATTCCATGATACAGACCCATTGTGGACTACGAAAATAACAGACCGCGAAAATGATCATAATAATGAAGGTCATATGATATGACCATATTCCTCACATAAACACGAACATATCTGTACCACACATTCAAAAACTAGAAATCATGGCACGAGAAAGGTGCGTATCGGGAAAACAGTGTACACGTAAAGAATACGCTGAGCGAAATACCAAATTAGTGGATAACATTTATGCAGATCCACCATCCAGAGTTTCCTGGTCAAACTGATATTCGCCCAAGCCAGGTCCAACTCGTTTCAGATTTGTAATGTGCTCCGAGATCTCCTTGATTGCCTTCACTTGCTCCTCAAGATACTCGGTTTCAATGAAGTCACACATCTGCAAAGTCGAATTCAGATTTCATGTCTGTTCAACATCATAACGCTGTTCACCGGATGTTCAGAAAGAACGCTGTAGATCTAACACCTTCCCTTCACCGCCATATTTCAGTTAAAGTTTTGGAAAGCGGAAAAGTGTTACGGTTTCGAAAATTAAATAGTAATCTTTCAGTTACCGTATACAGCAACCTGGAATGTGAACACTGAACATCTGCCTACGTGCGCTGCTGCGCATATGCTTTTCATGAAAAGACTGACTGTAAATTGTAAAGTAGAACTGTAAAGTAGAGTTCGCTTGTTCAGTTGTTTTGTTCGACATAAACCTGAGTACGCTAAAGTATTTTATGTACCACGTAGGAGTATCACGAACCCAAATACAGTACGGATCACAAGCAAACCAAAAGCTGAAAATTTAATACGAGCATTGTACTACAGAAATTACTGCACAGTACCTTTACCTAGTACAATACAGTACCAACAAATACATTGCATTAACAATGCGAAATTCATACTTCTATAGTTAAAACATTACTCACTTCTCAAACGGCATGAGAAATCAAGTACGAGAGTTTCGTAAACGGTCGAACCTGTCCCATGTCCGTATTTCAAGACTTAAACACTACAGTAGAGAGATGCACGACAAGAAGCCGTATCAAGTTAATGATAAACGTCAATATGCATTTAATCTTCCGAAATCTTTTTTTTAATTCTGTGATGGCTAATAAATCGTTTCACACATATGGTATTTCTGTCATAAAGTTTTACCTGTGGATCACCGTGTTTATTAGCAATGCTGTGCAGTTCCAGCAAAGCCGTATTCACGCTCTTCTCCAGTTGCAATGCTGCAGACATAGCATCCAAACCGTTTCCCCATTCATCGCGCTCAGGCTTCTGAAATAAGCGAATTATTTTTAGACACGGGACACGTGTGCTCCATAGAGCTTCGGCCAGTAGCCACTGACAGGCTCCCCAATGTAAATACGGAGGACCCAGTCCACGAACTCAGTGACGAACTGGGAATGTTAACTGAGTGTTGCAAAACACACCAACTACCAAGCCATAGCCACGACAAAACGGAAGGTGCACAATCAGACATAATATACCGGTTAACGGTTTCTTGTCATTAATTTTACTACAATACAAAAAAAGCTGTAGCGGGGACCGGTGGTAAAAAGGTATGGTGTACGGAAGTTTACTATACATTTTTCGGTATACCTACAAGGCAGCGTGTCCAACGGCCAGCCGGGCTAAGACACCGGCCGGATCAGACAGGGTCTCACTTCTAACCGCCACTACAGTACTCGATTGCTAGGAGCGCCACTTCAGCAGTCCGCAAACTGTAAACATCTTTTCCATGCACGCAAGTCAAATACAAAGTATTAACAAAAATCCGCAAAAGGCAAATAAACAAACTGATGGTGAGTCTTGTACGGTAAATGTGGAGTTTCTGTAACCACCGTGAGAGCAACGTTTAGATGCCGGTACTGAACCAAAGTTCAAGATGATCTTGAAAGACTTGGTAATACTGCTGCGCATAGCAACGCTATCGAATATTCAAACTGATAAAATATATAAGATAATGTACTGACTATAATATCTTATAACGAATCAACACGACTGGCACACGATGTTCGAACAATACATGCTATTAACGTTCGAAGAATAGATGCTGTTAATAAGGCTTAAAGTACCACACACACAGGGTACGGTACGGGTAAACGCACTCACAGACACATGACTTAGCTCGTAGGACTGTCACCACTCACCAGATAGGTGTCGGTGTACTCGGTGCATATAAGTGATATAATCAGATCTTAGGGTACACATTCACAATGAGCAATGCTAATGTAATTTTTAAAGCAAACACTATATACAGTATTATAGTTAAAAAGCTAACCTTTTACATATTGCAAATTCCAACGTAAGTCACTTATCACCTTTTAGCGCACTACAATGTAGGACTAAATGGTCGCATAGCCCCATACCCAGCATTCTGTACGCAACCGGTGCAGTGCACTTGTACGAAACGAATATTTTGAACACAATTGTACAGTGCACTGCGCTGCTTTCGTACTGAATGTGGAGATGTTGGGTATGCGACCATTTTGTCCTAAGCTGTATGTTGGATGTTTTAAAACAAAAACAGAAAAGCATTTCCTGGACCGCTTTCGAAATTGTAAAATGGCAATGAAGAGTAAAGCTGCAAAATAAAACCTGCAGGGACTAATTACTTTTTAAAAAAGACTCCAGTTCACAAGAAAATCTGATGCGAAACCGAGGACGACCTTGTATGTCATAATACTTTAGCGGGCAGAATATCGACTGCACTGTGATCTCAGTCTTACTGTAGCAATAAACATCACTTCCATAACTAAATGTACACACAATAAATGACACGCCTTGCAAGAACTCCTACTGTAGTAGTCTTAAAGTCTCACGTCTATCAAGCAAGAAACTAACCTTGATGTCAGCCAGCACGATTCTACCACCACGCATATTCTGGTACTTCATCAGTTTCTGAGCGTGCTCCCGTTCTTCATGGCTGTGCTTCTGGAAGAACTTTGCGAATCCCTTCAGGGCCACGTCATCCCGATCGAAATACTCGGCCTACGAGACGGCAAGCTGTAAAGCGGCAGCTGATAGTTTACATTACTCGATTGCTTCGAGCGAGTCTGCAAAGCGTGATTTTTGCCACCAAGTCATCCGGAGACTCACCATAGAAAGATAAGTATACGAAGCGTACAGTTCCATATTGATCTGCCTATTGACGGCGGCCTGCAAAAACCAATTCGTTTCAATATAAAATGAATTCTTTATCTGGTGCTCAGAAATCTGGCAAAAACCGATCCGACAGAAGAGTCGGAGGTTCATGGAAAACATAAACGTACTTCGCTTTCGGCATGGTAATTTTGGCGGACCGCACTGACGTATCCTGGATTGGTCATTTTTGGGAATCGCAGCACACTGAAGAACCTAATAGACTTCTACCAGTATATCAAATCTCGAAGAAAATTTGCTGAAAACGAAGTTTTTATGAAGAGACTGCAGTAGTGTCGCTTATTAATGGCGGAGACGGCTGACAGAGCACATAAGTACTTATAGATGTAATTAACTAATTATCACATGCTCCATCGTCCATCACGTGAGGCCGTGGGTCGGATAAACACGCGTTGCCTGTCCGCGGCACATTTCAGTTCTACGAATAGTTTAATCATTTATCTGATTATGAATACCAATAAATTAACTTCGTACAATTACGAGAGACAAGCACAGTAGTAACAAGTGACAGTACTGATGATACTGTGTATTGTCATTGTGATTTAGAACAGGTTTACCTGATGGATAAGAGTACCTGTGCTTCACGGAAGAAATCTGAAAAGGTGAATAATTTAAAATTTGATATAAATCAATCAACATAACTCGGATGCGTGGAATTAACAAGTCAAGCAGCTGTTATGCTAATAATTATTATAAGGTCACAGCTATACTACAAATGTGTATACCGATAGCCGATTTGTATGCGATTGTTATTAGATAGACTACCAGAGGACTTGACCAGAAGCAGACTGATGAGGACGTCACTAACTGCACGAGTTTATATTAGCCCAGAAAATAAAGATTTAAACAAATGAACTGAGTCTGCTGATTGTAAAATCTGATCGCTGGTTGCTTGTTACACGTGCGACAGATCGTATTCCGCATAGAACTGTAACAATAATAATATGACGGGCGATAACGCATCAGTTACTTAATTGAATGAATTATAATAAAATAGAAAAGTTCTGCGTCAAAAAGGTATTTATCGGCTTGCTTTAAGAATTCTTTATACGATATAGGAGTCAGTAGGACTACCAACAGTTGATTTTCAAAACTTTATTGCTCTAATGAACTGGGTCTGGCCAATCATCAGACCACAGTTAGGCCCGATCAAATTTCAATTTAAAGGGTTTTCAGCGATTTTGCGCTAGCTGCTACCATCCTTTTCCGGTACTGCTGACCTTTGTGTTTTGCTACCACCTGTGGTCAGAAGAGCCCAGCTGAATGACCGCAGCTGACCGTTAGCAAAAGCACCATTGAAATGCAAGACCCATGTCAGTCGACCCTATTCTGACCAGGAGCACAAAATTCAAGTGGACCCCTTCCACCCTGTACCAACTTAAGGGGAGTGGCCCGGTACATGCATGGCACCAAACTGGTGTACATGGACGTAAACTTTCCTTTTAGCGCACTCCCAAACAGTTCTACGCTTCGTTTTATAACATTCTGTAGCCAGATGATTTGAACACATAAGCAAAAAAAAACCGTTTGCGCGAGCAGCATTCGGTTCGGTAGTTATGGAACTTATGGCTGTAAAAAAATTCCAAAAAGTTTAAATGCATTCGGGTGTACCAAAAGTCTCGTTATCAACCAATCTTCGCCAAATTTGCACGAAAACGCACATAAGCTTGAAAGTCATTTTTACACCGAACCACAGTTCTAGCATTCTTTGAAATTATAAAATCATTTTTAAAATTTTTGAAATTCATAAACTATCTTCACACTTACATGGTTTTCTGTGCAAAACTTAAAGAAAATCGGTCGATAACGAGACTTTTGATACACCTAAATGCATTTAAACTTTTTGGAATTTTGTACAGTAATAACTCTCGATCCGGATGCTGTGCGCACGAACGGTCTCCACGCCAATGTGTACAAATCATCCGGCTACAGATTGTCATAAAACAAAGCAGAGAAGTGTTTAGAAGTGCGTTGAAGGAAGTTTTCGTCCATGTACACCACTTCGGTACCATGTACCATGTATCCAACCAATACGACAATAAAGGCTGACAGACATCTACATTATTTTCTGCTTTTGCATGTGCAGCATAAAGGATGAAATCCTCCACGACGTCCAAATCACAGGGGATCACCAGCACATCGGTGAATAGTGAGAAAATTGCTGCATACAGTATCTGTAAATTCCTGTTTACGGTTCCGATATTCATTGTTCGTCGGCTACACACCGCTTGGTTATATCAGCTGCGTAAGCGTGAAAGTATTAAATTATGTCCTCAACTTTGTAAACGTAAATATTTGTTTTGAACTTTATACTCGTTAAAGTATTTGCATTAACCATGTTCTATGGAGAGAATGTTTAAGTTTGGACAACATTAAACAGGTGACTGAGCTGGACAAATAAAGAGTGAAATGTCAAACTTTATGTAGAATGAAATAACGAACTTTAATCAGAAAGGTAACAACGGATCGGGGAACGAAACACGAAACATGAAGCGTGAAGAAAAACTTGAGAATTCTTGAAAATCTGCAACAGGAAACACTCAAGCTTGCGATATCGAACAATGAAACATGGAACAATGAAACACTGAAAATAAATCATAAAGCATACGGATCGGAACAATAAACGTGAAGAAAAACTCTAGGAAATCTGGTAAATCTGCAAACAGGAAACACCGAAGCTTTGCGATTCGAACCATGCAAAATGAAACAATTCATGTGCACGTCAAAGACTTGTCAGCCAAATGCCTATGTAAACTGGCTGATGCAGCTATTCATTTGCGACATCAGCGACCGCTGAGGAATGTTGCAAACGGTCATTACAAACGGTCTGGATTCAAGTTACAAATGTTATAAATCGTCTAGGTTCAAGACCGCACTCTTTTACCCGGTGCATTATCGAACTGGATGCACAATTCAGGCATTTAAAACACTAGGAACCCTGTCATCATTTACTGAGACCAGGAACTCCTGTCATGTGTGTGTCGCGGATTTTGCTTAGTGTCTTATGATTTTTTGGATAAAAGTCATAAAACTGTAGGTAATTGCACATGGGGACGACCACAGAAAATTGTTCGCTATATGGATTGTGCAGCAGCAGAACTGATTATCGAAAGTATAAACTTCGATAACGTTTAGGACGTGAGTTTCATGTTTCATGGTATTCCGAGTTTTACTTAAATGTTCCGCATTCTTAGTTTCGTACTAATTTTATTGGAGCGAATTAGGTGAACTAAGTGGAAGCAGAACAAATCAGTCAAGAGATATTTGTGCTCCAGGTGAATCAGCAGTTTAAATGGACCCGCTTACGGAAGCGGCGCAAGCAAGAACTTGTGGAGGATGCGTATCGAGTTATTGTTTTGTAAAATGGCTGAACCAACTTATCGTTAAGTCGCTTTTCATTTTCTACGCTAATTGGTAAATGTCTGTTTTTCGAAAAAAATTTGCAGAATTATGCAGAATTCGTGCTTGGTCGTAGTGCTGATGCTAACTAACCTATACATTGTTTGATTTGAGTATCGTTACTGTAAATTGTATTGCATATCCGACAAATTAACGCAGTTCGTAATTTTCTATCTGGCGCTGTGCATAACCGCACAATTTGATTTTCTGAGCTGCTTGTGTCTGCAAACTGCAATGCAATATCCTGCGATGTCCACTACGTAAAACAGAACAAATATCTGTTTTCAACGAAAATTTGATTTCAAGATTTTGACGGGTATAATTTTCTCTAAGATACGACTTATTGAATTTACATGGTATAGTCAATTTATATACCAAAAGACAGGAAATAACAAGATCCAATAATGATATGCAAGTTGCCTTTGTGCGGATGCCATACTGACCGCTTAAATACTCAGCAACAATCTCCTTGGCGCCTACCACCAAAGGTTCAATCGCCACACTTTGCCCTCGCTTCTCTTTTTTCCGTTTGTTTCAATGTTGCCCTATCCGTCATCCAAACCTACAGGAACAAAACAGATTAAAGAACTTGAACAACCTTAACGGTTGGTCAATAAAAATGTTAGTGGCTAGGCATCCGTAATTTTCTGCAACTTGCCACCTTGTGTGCCAGAAAACCCGATTTACATCTGACACACAGGAGTTAACCCTGGTACATTGCTTTATCTTTGTTACTTTTTTGGGCGTCCACCGCCTCTATTCCTACTTCTACGCCGTATTCAAGCTTTTTTTTTTTCCGTCTCTCAGTGGCGATATCGTCTTTTCTTGCCAGAGAATCTGGAGCGCAGCTGATTCGTTCATTCGAAAGACGTATCCACCAGCAGCCAACCTGAGCGCATCCAGTCTTTGAAAGCTTGGACGCTGATACAAGGGGCTCAACGTGCACGAATGCGGGATTGCCGCTACAACGCAGGCACACGACCGTTTACCTTCAGAGTTGATTTCCGCCTTTCTCCCCTCAGTTCAACCTTTGCGCTTTGTTTTTCTTTCTTTCTCTTTTCCTTCGCAGTATTGATGCCGTTTTCATCAGAAAGAAGTTCTAGAACACACATCTGAATCATTAGCTTTTGGTCGTTATCTTTGCGCAGAGAAATGCTGCGGTCGTTCAGCTCTTGCAGAAGTAAGCTTATTCGGGCTGTGTATTTCTTCTAACGGGAGGTTATCAAAACTGTAAAAGAGCAAGCTTGTGCGTGAACCGATGCTGCGCACCTTCAATGGAACGCTACAAATCGGTGGATTATGGACCGCCTTGGTAAACAGAAAAAACGTAAAGTCTTTATTCTCTTTTGAAACCAGTTATATAAATGCCCACCTATCAAAACAAATCCACCAAAATAATTAGAAACTTATTCATTTACCTAAGTTTTAAATTCAGATGACCCGCTTACTGAAAAAAATTGGCCATATATTCATGTAAAACGCCCATCATTTCCGTCGCACATCTGCGCCGGCAATAATGGGCGTTTTACATGAATATATCGATCACGTCCTATGCTGTCTATATAAGACGAGGAAGACGAAAGCTTGTACTTTACGTGTACAAATGTATACACCTGCACAAATCATGCACGTAAATTATGAATATATATATTGACCTGTACTGCTTTCAACAACCTGTTGACATGTGCGAAAGTGTCATTTGACTATAAACAAAGTAAGGTCTTGTTGATGCGGTAGTCGAGCTGAGGGTTTATTCATGATGCCTTTAATTACGAAGCAGGCAACAAATGCCAAGAAATAATTCTTTAAAAAAGTAAAGAAAACTAATTTTTGTAAGCAAAGAATACAACAATAAACAGTCGTTCACCTTCATTTTTCTCCTCATTGTATGCCGCCCGAGGATCATCTGCTTCACTTT